AAGGAAAATAAAAGGAGGCAGGGGCAACTCCAATCACTATCATATGTATTCCAAAGCTGTGAAAACTGGAAATGTAGAAAGTCACCACTTTCCCTCTGGCTTAAATGGACTTAGCTTCCATAAAAGTGATGAGTTCAATCTGCATTCAGTGATAAACTCTGGCACAAAAAAAAAAAAGAGTGGTAACAATCATATGTAGGTTACCTTTCTTATCCCTCTGAACAACTGCAGCTCAGCATTGAAAATGAAAAGACTAGGCCCAAGTACCAGCACAGAGGAATCCTTTTCAGAAATTAACATGCCCGGTTGGCCAATGGACTTTATATGGAGACTCATTTATGGAATCCTTGTCCTATAAGAGCCCTGAGTGTATGGCATGGTCCCACTGTATTTTCAGATCAGCCTTGTGCAGCAAGTTAGGTTGAGCTAGACAGAGAGATTGCCAACATGATCGCCAACGTCCTATAATGGATATGGCAAAAGAAGAAGAAGAGAGAGATGGAGACACGTGTCCATCCATTGAGTGAACCTTACGACGAGGAAACATATCAGAATATTACTTGCTCTGTTAATATCCAACAATATTTTGTTGTACAGTTAGGCTAGAACTTGAGAGCCAACATCAGCAGAAAGAATGAAGCTCCCACAATGCTTCAGCTGCCTGTTCACTTATTCAAACTTACACAGTCCAATGCTTCTCCATCGGACCACTCAGCCTGGAGTCAGAAGCTGTCTGGAGGTCAGCAGCATATAAGCACCACACACACACACATTCCCCACCCCCCCAAAAAACGCTACTACTCTGCCTTGAGGGTTAGCAAGTCTATGGTATAACATGAACCAGGTCTTATGTTTAGCTTCTTGTTTTACATAGGGCAGTGGTTCTGAACCTGTGGGTCGGGACCCTATTTGGGGTCGAACGACCATTTCACGGGGGTCGCCAAACAACGCAGTCTGCCATTTTTTTCCCCTTTTCCTTAGCTGTGCTACTCCCTTTTATTTTATTGGCTTTTGAAAGCCAATAGAATAGACTCTCTTGAATAGGAATTGTCCAGGCTGTCTCTGCACTGCTGAGCCCGCCAAAAGTCCCATTCTGCAAACAGTGCTGCACCAGTTGAGTAGTCCTTGACTTACGACCGGTTGAATAGTCCTCGACTTACGACCGGTTGGGGGGTCGCGGCATTAAAAAGGTTGAGAACCACTGACATAGGGCCATGTATAAAAATACTAACAAGAATCAGATCAATATAGAGGTCCCTTTGAATGCTTGCACAGACAAAATGAGCATCTGTTTAGGTGCTTTTCTTACCAGACACATAGCACTGCTTTGAAGACATTGCTCATTAATCCCAATTCTCCGACTGTTGGACCCAACTAGGTATTTCCACTAGAAATATATGTAAGAGTGTATGCATATGTTAGCAAAAGGTGGCTTCACGTTCAGCAGATTCCTTAGCTTGGCTTTAGTGTAGTGACTTCCAGATCTGGAAAAGTTTCAGCTGTTAATTCATGCAAATCAAATTGCTATGGCCACAAGAGCAGGTCAAACCAGTATGTGTGTGTGTGGGGGGGGGTCTGTCTGTCCCTGACCAGTTGGCAGTCTAAATTCATTCTAGCAGAACAATTTTTGTATGTGAAAATTGTACCCTCCAGATATGTTTGATTTCAACTCCCACGATCCTTAACTAAACAGGAGCTGAGATGCATACCAGGCAAAAGTAAACAGTTTGCTTGTTTGTGGCTCAGCTGTTGTATAAACTCAAGCATGCTTTATGGCAAATTGTGTGCAAATTGTGGTTGATTCAAATAAATCATGGCTTATATTAAGTATACAGCATGCTGTTGTAATATCATCAGCATTTTTATTTCTTCTCTTAAGCCAGGGTGGATAACCTTCAGGAGCTGCTGTGGATGAGTGCTGAAGAGAGATAAGGGGATCATTCAGTGCTGGATTTGTTTAGGGGGGGGGAGTTCCAGGTATTTTGGGGGACTGTCATCCATCTTTAAAAGAACATCTAGCTTATTTTAGAGCCTACAATACTGTAGGGATACCCAAAGGTTGTAGGCTGAGGATTGCACTTGGATTTTGAGTAGCATGTGATGGTCAGCTCTCTCAAAATGACTGTACGGATTCAGGGGAAAAATTATTTACATTAATTGCACTTAAGTAAACCTTCAATACATTGGGAATCTCTGCAATCCATACTTCAAGGCTACATGCAGATTTAGGACTTCAAGGTCTGCACCTCACTTTGTGTGAGTGCGCGCACGTGTTTTGCCTTAATGGGGCAGTTGTTAATCATTGATGCCTGGTTAAAGGCGGCTCCAGGAACTGCAATACAATTTTGGAAGCCACCTGTAGTAAAAAAAAAAAAAAAAAAAAAAAAAAGTGAGCCATGATGATTTTTAGGTAGAATTGCCAGCAGAAAGAAATAACAAGAGCTGAAGGCTGGCCAATTGTGGTGCTGCAAATTGATCTATGCAGCCTAAGTTTTTCACAGGATAAAATCCATGTTGCAGTTACCAGCTAAGATCAGCACTGCAAGCTGCTCTGAAAGCTTTGGTATAACCAGCAAAATATTTGATGTCAAACAGAATATCACAAAACTAAGTACCCAGCTTGCCAAGGAGTGTGCTGGAGCAAGCAGAGAATGGCCAAGAAATTTGGATCCTAATTGTTATTTACACTGGAATTTTTGGGTTAACTCTGATCCAGCCATTTTTTCCCCTCAGCTGGATCACCAGATTATTGTCATAACTTAGTATGTTTTTGCATACACTCCCTTCATTTGAACAGATTGTACCATCCCGCCTTATCCCTGTGGCAGCTCTAGCCCCCAGGCTCAAGTTTGTGAATATTTTTCCATGGCCCAGATCAGAGGTTTTCTCCTGTAGCACAAGTCAGTTTTCTCATCCTACCTCACATTTGACAGAGCGACAATTGTTCTGGCAGAGACCATCTGCAAGCAAGGAAAGGGAGGCCTGACTGCTTTTGCAGGCACTTAGCAGGTTTGGGAGCAGAAAAAAATGGTTCAGTTTGCACAACACACTAAATCACAAACTTGCCAATATCATTTTTTTCTAGAGGACTGTACAAATCCAGCCCCGTGTTTATGATTGTCCTGTATTGTGGGAACCCAGAAACCTGGACTGAGTAAAACATAGCTAACAATGAAGAGTAAAAATATAAATATGCAATCTTTTCTGTCAGTAATTTTGTAATTACCCAGCTCTGAGGACTACAAATCCTCTGTAAAGCTCAAGTTCAAAGGTCAGTTTTGTCAAAGAAATTCACACGTGGCACATCTCCCTTCCTTCCAGTACAATATATGGAAGGGAATCTTCAAAAGATGCAGCTACTATTAAGCCAGGTCTGTGTTAGGAAAAGCTTCATGTTAGTTTCTGTCTAGTTAGTACTTTTTTTTTTTTTTTCCTTCTTGGATCCCTGACTGGTAGTAACTTGATACATAGAGTGTTGCTTCTTTAGGGTTATACCTGTTGTACAGCAACCCAATGCATAGAAATGGAGCATTATTTTCTCTGTGGAAGGAAGACCCCCAATTTCACTTTCTGTTCTGGTGGCACAGGGTTAGAATGCAGTATTGCAGGCTAATTCTGCCCATTGCCAGGAGTTCAATCCTGACTGGCTCAAGGTTGACTCAGTCTTCCATCCTTCTGAGGTTGGTAAAATGAGGACCCGGATTGTTGGGGGCAATATGCTGACTCTGTAAGCCACTTAGAGAGGACTGTAAAGTACTATGAAACGGTACATAAGTCTAAATGCTTTGCTATTGTTAAAAATGCAGGAAGGCTGAGAAAAATAACAAAGCAATTGAGATGAATAGCAATACCAACTTTTACTGTCTCCTCTGGCCAAATTATCAGGTGAGGGTTTTCATGGCCCTAAACTAAACTGCATATCAGACTCCTGATAAAAAGCACTGATGGTGGACAAGAGCAGGAGAATGTGCTAATCAGCAGGCTCCTTTGAGCTCAGCCTGATTGGTGTGTGAATTTGCTATAAAAGTAACCCTCTTGAAATATTAAGATTGGATCATACTGTTTACATGTTTACTAATCCTCACTATGACAAGTAGGTGGTGTGGGCGGTTGCTATTTTAACTTTAGTTTACCACTGTGCTGTTAAAAAAAAGAGATTTAAATACAGTATACAATTTCTCACTAGACCTCAGACTGCTGAAATGTGTGGTTATATGGAAATGGGCATCAGTTTTTGTAAATTAAGACTCGTGTTTACCAAGCATCTGCCCTAGTTTTAAGTCCCCCTTGTGCAGAGCCTGTGACTCCTTTTATCCATTTATTCCTGCACTTTTCTCCCATCTTCTTCCTCATTTACTGTGCAGAGTAAGAGCTGGGTGAAAACTGTGTCTGATGAAGTAGGACATCATTGCAGTTTTGGATTCATTAGTGGAGAGAACAAGAACTGGTGGTGCTTCTCGTTTTTGTGGATGGCAGGGCTTATATATTCCAGCATGCATCAGCTACTTCCTCACTCCTTGGGCTTTTTGGGAAAGAGTCAAGATTATAGAAGATGTTACTTAACATTTTGACATTTGCCACATTCCAAGTCTTGTATTCCATGAAGAATTTGCCATTGAAATTCTTACAAACCTTCTTGCTAATAATAATCCCCATTATTACAGACAAGAGTGAATTCAGAACTGAAAATATGTAATGATGAGCAGGACAAAGAAAAATGCTTCTGCTAAGCAGCCAGCAATGCCATTACCAAATACACAGTTCTAAGACCAAAGTTACTATCAGTGTCATATTCTACCCATTTGCACTTTTGCTCCAAGGATACCGTATTTTGTTTCCCCTAGAAGTGAGCAGCAACTTTTTTCTGTCTCACAGAATTTATTGTGAGAATCCTGGAGAATTGATTCATCTCCACCTGCATAGCCTCCTTAACCCAAGTTGTTGTTTTTTTGGTACTATAGAATCTCCATTTTTAAAAAAGAGCATGACAACAGAGAACGTTAGGGAGAGACTATTTATACGTGTATCTGTATTTTAATCAGACCCCAATAGTTACATGGGGAGGGGGCCATTAGCAGAGGGAAAAAGCATGCAACCAGGACTGATGACTACAATTTGCATCATCACTGCAGCTGGCAACACCCACTCATTGGGATGTCACTGAGTTCCTGATGCATGGATAAATATTTCATTGTTGTTCCCCCAGATCAAAAACCCAGTTTTATTTAGAAGCTCGGGGGTGTTGTAAGCAGTGGGGGAAAAAGACAAGGAAACACTTATCAGAGAAATTCAGGCTCCTCAATTTCATCATCTGAAAACCAAAACTTATGGCTGAAAAGAGCCTGAAATATACAGGTTAATTTAATGACCATGCTAAATGAGATTGGCAACTCTGTCAACGATGTGGTTAAGTGAGACATCACATGACTTGTGATTTCACCACTGGCTTCTCCACTGACTTTGTCAGAAAGTATAAAGGTATTTCAAATTTAGGTTGGAAATGTGAATATAAGCACATTTGGTAGACACGCAAAAAAGCTAGAAAAAGTTGTGTTCAAATATAGCGATTCAGAAGATTTCAAAGATTAGCATTCAACTGAAATCAGAACTTTTCTTCTTGGAACTGAGGGAAAAGCAGTTGGAAAAAAGTCATGGAACACTGCTGCATTTTATATATGCAGCAAGATTATTGTACTACAAAAGTGTAAATGCAACACTTCTGACAGAGGAATGGTTGATGAAAATGACATAATTTGTTGAAATGGCCAAATTGAATTGTTTGATTAAAGGCAGTATCTACATTTATTGGTGAATAGAAACCTCTTATGGACTTTGTGTGTAAAAAAGAAAAAAACTTATAATGTGTGGTTTGATGACTAGATATAAAAGAAGACAGTCATGATTTAACTTTAGAGAGAGGTCAATTTATAATTCTACTTATACTGCTATAAAGAAGATTGGAAGCCACACTTTTATATTTTCTTGCTTTCTTTTCTATTTTTCTGTTACTTTTTCTTTTTACATTTTTAATTTTTCTTTGTCTTTTTTCTCTTTCACTCTATTTTAGTTTGTATTAGCTTATAATTCTGTTTAAAATTATATATATATATAATTTTTTGCATATGTATCAAAATGGCTATCATGTGGCAATGGGGTACTGCAACAATCATAAATGCACACCGGTTGCAAAGTACCCAAATTGTGATCATGTGACTGTAGGGATACTGCAACACTTGTAAGTCACTCTGTCATAAGCTTGAGGATCAGTCATAAAGTTATTTTTCAAGCGTCATTACTATGTCATAAAGTTTCTTTTTTAGGACCATTGTATCTTTAAACAGTTGTTAAACAGGACAGTTGTTAACAGAGGACTGCCTGTACTTTAAGAACAAATTGCACTGGGGTTTTGGGTAAATAGGCAGGTAGGAGAATATATTTTTGTTTCATTCAGAAAATGGCTCTTTTTGTTTTACCAGTCCAACTTGAGCAAAGATTCTATCTAGTCGGGAAGCATTGAGAATAATTGCTGTAATTTAAAAAAACAAAATCTTCAGTCAAGGATATATAGCTTTGTGCAACCTCTTTCCTTCTCCCTAAATTGCTACTTTCTTGAATCTTTCATTTGTAATCTGGTAAGTTGAAGAGAAAACTCATTGAAAGCAAAATGTTTTTCTAAAACTAACAGTGTAAGGATGGGCTTTGGCACAATCATCTATACAGACAGAGACTCTTGATTCATAGCCCTGGTCTTGGTTTCAGATTCAAGACCTTGCTGATAAGAAACAACTATATGTTCCTTTACACCTTATGCCTCTTGTCACCCAGCATTTGAATAAATATAAAAAACGTGAATTTGAAAAATGTTGAAATGAAATAAACTACTTTCTCATAGCAGAGTGACTGAGTGTGATTCATTCATGCACATTGCTGAGTACTCAGAACTTCTCCATTATCAAACACCAGTAAACTTTCAGCAGCCTCTGCCAGCATGTCTAATAGTGAGGGATGCTGGGAGCTGTAGTTAACAATAGCAGGAAGATCACAGATTGTTTCCCCACCAATTAAAGGCCAATTAAAGGCCCAAGAACTTAAGGGGTGAAGTCTGAGTAAAATATTTTTGAATGTTTGGATTGATTTGCTTGTTGCAATGAGGTCTAACAAAAACTAAGTTTCTTCTTAAATAAATGCTGAGAAAATGAATCCATGTCATTTACTGTGGTCACAGGAAGGAATTCATCTCCCCACCAGCTGTCCCCCTTAGTACCATCAAAGCTTCCTTTGTATGGAGCACCTGAGGATGAGAAACTGCACAGGAAAGTCTTTTTTGCCAACCCCCCCCCCCAAAAGGCCAAATGTTATTTCCTAAGCTCTCCTCCCACCCTCCAAAATGCTGGATTAGCACTGAGTAGTATGTCAAAGGACTGGCCAAACAGTAGAATTAGCAGGATCCCAATCTTTTCTGAAATGCTCTACCAGCAAGCAGAGATTCACTTTCTGAGCTCCAATCATCAGCCCTCTTTCTTCACACAAAGCAACAGGGGATTAGGGAGAGCTAAGAGCTACAATGAACAGGAGGTGGCAGAGACTGTGTGGCTGAATCTGGTCAAGGACCCAGAGCAGGGGATGGGCAGTCTTTTACCCGCTGAGGTAAATCAGCATGTCTTCATTAGGTGTAGTCTTTGGTGGATCATAATGGAAGCCTAGGGCCAAGCTGACATCAAGTCAGAGCCCCAAATGGGTGGAAGCTCCGTTTCTCTCTCTTCCCCACCAAACACCTCTTTTTCTTCCTATCCAGCAAGTTATCAACGAAGAGCAGCACCATGTCTGCCAGAGCTCTGAACTGCCTGGTTTGAAATTAGGCCCAGAGCTATCCTTTGCCTACCCTGGACTTAGAAAAAGGATGGGAAGATGGAATATGACCTTGGCCTTGGGAAGAGACCTCTTCAGTTTATGTCTACTAACACAGTACCCAATTCAGAACTACTCATTTTAAAACAACATCCACACACAGAGTAAAAGCCACTCCCCCCTCCCAAAAAAACAACCCTTAACCATTCTTTGCATTATCAGTTACTCAACAATTACAGCTTCGTACAAGTCACTGATGTGTTAAATAAACATGTTGCCTTTGCGCCACCTCTATTACTGGGAAAAGGGCCCAGCTGCAACCTAGTACAAGTGCTTTTGGGTTGTACCACTTGGGCTCCATCCTGCTGTGGAGAGGGAGGGAATCAGAGGAAATATATATTTGAAACAGGGAGTTTCAGAACTGACCAAACATGCAAAATGAGGGAGGTGGTATGACTATGATGCAGAAGGAGCTACAGAATCACAAATGCAGCTTGCGGAGTAGAATGCAGGGAGAGAGGTTTTTAAGGAAACTGAACTTTACTCCCTGGACTGCTATACATTGAGAACGGATTATGGAGCTTTATTATGGCAGGAACACCTCCTCCTCCTCTATGGGGCAACTCCTCTGGACCAGGAATTACAACCTCAGAAGGAGGGAGGCAGTTTCAAAACTGGCAACCTCAAAAATAAAGCTGCAGTTGGCCATGCAACTTTAAAAAATGTGCCACCTGCAGACAAACTACTGCTGCCAGGGCTTCCTACGGGGCAGCAAAGGCAGGTCCACAAAGAGGCAGGCAGCATAATCAGTAGGTGCATGATTCAAAAGAAATCAAACTGTTTGGGGGAAGGCCTGAGTAGAACAGTGATGAGGGGAGAAACTGCTGTTTGTGCGCCATTAAGAGGGAAAGAGTAGCTGGGTTAAGTGCCTGCCCCTTCCGATACAGTCGAAAAAAATGGACTGACTAGAGAGAGGGGAGGCAGAAAGTTCCAATATCTCTTCCCCAACCCGCCCCACACACACACCAGCAGCGCAGCCAAGGGCCAAGCATGGAGGACGGCATCACAGGTGGAAGTGAGCTCAGACAGCATCATCCAAGCCAGATTCAGCATCAGGGGACGGGACACACTCTTTGCTAAGACGGACGATCTCCTGGGAAAGGACCTCCAAATCCTGGAAGAAAGGGGGAAATCAGATAAGAGGGAGCCAGAAAAGGAGATCTGTGGAAGAACAGGCATGATATCCAAGCAGGAGATACAGCAACGTACAGACATCTCTTTCAAGACATGCCCATTCTACACAATTCATTCTCCCAACTAAAAACTGCTCATTGATCGTCATTGGGCTTGAATTCAAAGGATGTCTGGAATGCAAAAAACCCAAACCAACACAGAGATAAAGAACCAATGGCAATGAATGCACTTTATTAAGAGAAGGAAAGGACCCAACTTGGTTTGGACTGCAAAAAAGCAACTTCCTTTAACGACCCATTTCTTCTCCTTTTAGCTCAGAAGCCAGGAATAGATGCACTTCAGATCACATTCCTTCTTGCAAAGCGTTGCACACCAGGGGAGCTAGACCCACCTCCATGCCCTAGCTCAGACATGTCAAACACAAGGCCTGGGGGCTGGATGCGGCCCGCAAAGTGGTTTCATGTGGCCCGCGAAGCCATCCTGGAAACAGTGAGGGAACAGCCCCCGCTGCCTTGGCCCTGGCCCAGGCCGGCCGGGAGCCAATGTACAATTTTGTGGTGGCCATCTATGCTGAAACGCATTCAGTCTTAGCTCCATAAGCCCCCCCCCCCGCATGGCATGAGAGGAACATGCCCTGGTCCCATCCCCTTCTGCCAGAGACCCTCAGATCTGTCCCACTCCTACCCAGGCCCGCACAGGCAACCTTGACACGAATGATGTAGAGCTGGCCACACCCACTCCATCCACAGCCACCCAGTAGGCCGCACCCACCCTGGCCACACCCACCCGGTCCCCTGAGGGCAACCGCAATGCTGATGCGGGCCTCAATGAAATTGAGTTTTACACCCCTGCCCTAGCTGGCCTCTGCTACCATCCATTCTACTTGCCAGCAGCTTCTTTCCCAAATGCACAATGCCCCCTACAGGCCATCACCGGGCCCGACCATGCTATTTCATCTGCCATGCACCATTAACCTTTCCTCCTACTCAGTATTTCCCTGTGTGGTCGAAGACTTCCTCCCAGATTAGTTTCTTGATCCTCACTGACAGCACCAAGACAGCATCCCTTTTCTGCCCCACGCCGACTGATCCACTGAAGCCCCAACCTTGAAGCAGCCTGTCCTCTGAGGCTGCTCCACCCCCATCCCTCCCCATGCAGACACGGCTATAAATAGCCTCTTCTTTCTGCTGACATCATCCTTTCGTCCCCTTGTTCCATTAGGACATTGGAACGATCAGATTTTTACATCAAGTTCATGCTGAAGAGGAAAAAAAAACACCCCCCCCCAATATGCTGCAAAACCGTTCTCTTACCTCAGCATGTGCTTTCGTGATAAAAGCAGGAAAGCAGAAGACTCACCTTGCTAGATCAGATAGGCGTCTATCTAACCCAGCAATCTGTTTCTAGCTAGTAGAAGCAAGGAAGCTCTCTAAAACACGGAGAAGAAGCAATTGATTTTTCCCTGCCATCTGATCCTAGAAACTGATATTCAGAAGTATACTTCTTTTGAATGTGGAGTATCCTTTGAGGTGCCACAGCTGAGAGGAATATTCTAAAAGAATTACCTTGCACAAAGCTATCTAGTCCTTTGAAAAAAAAATTCTCTGCAAGTTGTATAAACTATAGAAATACTGTATGTGGATCGTGTATTAAGGGTTTTTTCTTGACACTTTTTTTTGGGGGGGGGGGGAGTTCAAAGCATATTCAAAGTGCTCTTTTACCCAGACTCCTAGCTACTTATCTGAAAATCCAGCATTAGACCACTTGTATCAGTGGAAAAAAATAACCTGGCCTAGCTCGGTGGTGGGTGTAGGTGACAAACAGCCAGGAAGTAACATTCCTGCTGCACCATCACCACTATGGCCAGAATGCAGATTTCTCTGCCCCACCCCCTGACATACTTCCAAGCTCCAAAAACGTCTCCCTTAAGCTACTCTTCCCAAAAGCAACTGCATCACCCAAGATCTCCTCTCTGAATTGTGGGTGGTCACCCATCTGTGACACAGAGAGAAGGCTGGAGAAAATGCAGATTGTATGAAGATAAGAGTTCTTCATTCAAGGTCAATCACAGCGTTCAGGCAGAAGGAAATTTGCTACTCCCTTAGCTTCCCTTCGGTGCCAAAGCTGGGGCTCTTGCTGCCTCTCTTCCTCATCAGTCACCTTGATCTGCAGCCTGAGAAAAGATGAATGGACAGGCAGCCACAGCAGCTGTGTAAAACACTCGCCCAGGACCATGAACACACAAACTCAGAAGCCAACTAGCAGAGAGTCTCTCTGTTCTTATTCACTTACCACAGCAGCCTGTTCCTCCCGTTAAGAGCTCTCCCCAATGCCACATTTTTCGACATAGGCTACTAAGGATTTGTCCAACAAGCCCTATACCTCATAACAAGCATCTTCTCCCTCTCTGGTTGCTGGTCTTCATCCCACAGCCTTCCCAACCATAGATTCCTAGAGAGTGCTGGATCGGAACTCCTCTTGTTTCAGGAATCACAGGAGCTATCATCCAACATCTATTTGGGAATTTACGTTTGGTGAAGGCTGCTGTAGCTGCCTTCAGCATTTCTAGATTTGTGTTTGTAGATGTACCTTGAATTTGGTATGCCGGGTCCCCTTTGGGTAACTTTTGTTCTACCCAGCCTCTTCTATCTTTTGTTTATGAGGGGTTGCTCCTCATCATTTAGGTTGCCAACTTTAATTTTTTGTTTTGGCTGTTGTGTTCTTCTGAATGTGCAGAGCATTGCTTTCACTCAGAAGGAACAGAAAATAGTTGCAGTGATAGCAATAGTGAAAGCCAGTATGATGTAATGGTTAAGGTACAGGCTAGAAACCTGGAAACCTTGAGTTCTAGTCCTGCGTTAAGCACAAAGCCACCTGGATGACTTTGGGCAAGTCACTCTCTGTCTCTCAGCCCTAGGAAAAAAGCAAAGGCAAAAACTATTTCTGAAAATGTCACCAAGAAAACTGCACAGGGTATTTCAAGACTAATTCAAGGGCAGACACGCACAAAATTATAATACTAATACAATCATCATGGTTCTAAGGGAAGGATGCCATTGATTATGTATAGAGCGACTTCAGAATATTTTTCAATTATGGATGTTGGCACCAGGCATCTAGTTTAGGATTGCAATAATCTAGTTGAAAGGCCAAAGGACAGTTACTTATAAAACTGAGTAGGCAAGAATTGGCCCTTCCTCTAGGTAAGCTGACACTGCAGTAGAGACTTCTGTTTATAGCATGACCCTTGCTTATCAAGGGCGTTGTCTCCTCCTGATGGTACCATGCAGATCACAACAAAAGGCGACCTCTCTCTGCGTGTTTCCTTAAGACACAGGAGTGCAATAAGATTAGCTCACACCTTTTATTCCAAAGTAATTGTTCCAAATAAACACAGACACACATATACACCCCCGCCACAATCAGCATTTTTGGTTACTTAGCAATGCCGTTTAGCTTTCTCCTGGGGCAGCCTTTTCTTCCTCACCATGGTGACTTCCATTGGTCTTGAAAACTAGCTTTCCCAGAATTCCATGCCAGCCTGTTCAAAGGCATGAATTATGCCACCCAATATTCTTCAACCGTTCGCTTTACAACTCCTACGGCACGGGCGATAGCAAATGTTTGCATAAGCTGAATTTCCCAGATCCCAAGAGAACACTATCTCGGGGAAGACAAATCCCAAGAGAACACTATCTTGCACAGCCCAAGGCCTCAGCATGATATAAAATGCCTGAAAGATGTGGATGTGGTCCCCAAGGACCTCCAAATGTTTATCCCAAATTATCAATTTTAATGAATCAGAAAAGGGTTAAATATATGATTGGAGAGCAGTCAGAAGAAATGTTTTTAATTTGACCTACATTTAAATATGGCTAAAATCAAATAAAAGCCAAGGTTAGTTTCTATCCTACCCTCACCCGTAATCTTTTTGGAGTCCCCAGCATACCCCTGAATGGCCCAGGAACTTGTCCAACTTTGCCTTCTCATAGAAAAGCTGCATGTGTTTAATAAGTAGCTTAATTTGAGGGAAAATACACCTTGCTCTAGCGTTCCTACCCCAAATTCTTTCCAAGGTTTGAGCAGTATGTTCCTCTAATACAGTGTTTCTCAACCTTGACCATTTTAAGGCACGTGGACTTCAACTCCCAGAATTCCACAGCCAGCATTGCTGGCTGTGGAATTCTGGGAGTTGAAGTCCGCGTGCCTTAAAATGGTCAAGGTTGAGAAACACTGCTCTAATAGTTCCCCTTTGTCAAGAGAACATAATACGGAGACTTGAGAGAAGACCTTCTTGGCTGTGGAAAGCCACTTAGAAAATGCCTCCCTTGTAGAGTGCAGCCTAGCATTTTATTTCAGCCTTAGCAAAGCCTGTCTATTCATTCACTCAAAATGTTGGGTTGTTGTGGCTACAGCATGATCTTGATTCACCATTTGCTTCTATTGGACAGGGGACTTTGCTCTTAGTGATGTTGCTTGTTTTACTGTCTGACGTTTTCTTTTCTTGTTTGTATCACCGTCACCTTCATAAGAATCAGTCATACATCTTTCAGATAAATAAAGATGCCCTGCATAAATGGCCAGTTCCATTTCAATACTCTGACTGTTCAGGGTTGCCTGTCTGTCGCTCGATGCCTTTTGCTAGCAGAAGCCCTCCCTTCTTCCCCTTTGCCATTCAGTGGCTGACTCTGCCCAGTCCCAATTTTACACACACCCCACAAGCCTTTTCTCCAGGCTCCACCTACTAACCTTCTGTAAGTGCATGTTTTTGGTGAGCTGCTCCTCCAGCATGTTCTGTAGCTTCTTGTTCATCTCACGCAGGTTCTCATCTCCTGGTTTCACCAGGTCTCGCAGGACACTACTTAGGCTACTTCGATCAACCTGCCCATGAGCTCCAGACACATCTGTCAAAGAGAAAAGAGCAAGGAGAAAAAGGCGGTGACAAAGAAGTTACAAACGAATGTATAAGTGAAATTATGGCTGTAATGGAAACCGAGCCTCTGAGCTGCACCATTTGAAGAGGGAAAACACAGGTCGTGTATTGGATTATCCTTCCTATGAATAATTACGTAACATTCCCTGTAACAACAGTCTTTCTCTTGAGAAGTGGGTTTTGGTTTTTTTTGAAGAACACTCCTTAGAATAAAGGAGATCATGACTAACGTGTTTGTCATCCATAGGAGAAACCAACCTAAAAATCCTTTGGGAACTAGTTAGCCCACTTACATCTTCAAAATTCTGCTCTGGATCCCTTTTCCATAAAATATTAAATTTTTGTCCTCTCACCGGATAGGGCAGCCTTTCCCAATTTGGTGATTGTTAGATGTGTTGGATAATGGAGAACCCAAGAATCAATGTCCATCACATCTTAGAGAATACCCATAGGGGACTCCCCAGTTATCCACCAAAGCTCTTTCCTTGGTGACCTTCTTAAGACGTGCATAAGCAGAGGTTTGTTTTAAATGACCTTTGAAGATAGGAAGATAGTTGACCGACAAGTGGTTGATTCTTTTCGCAAGCTTCTGAACTAAATGGTTTTATAATTATTCCTCTGGACTTGCAATGGTATCGGGATTGACCTTGCAAGGCAGGAGGAAGATCCACCACTGTCCTAGACAAGGTCTGTTAAATGAAATTTGAATCTGAAGGAGGAGGGGTAGCTGCTCATAAGGAACCCTTCCTAATTTTCAGGACAGTCAAAGTGAGGAATTGGGGGGGGGGTACTTTGAGACTTGCAACACTCTGTTAATGTAACCTTAGAGTAAAGATAGAGCTTGTACTCCTAGTTGTGTTTCTTGTTTGGACTACCTCGCAAGACTGACAGGACTCTATAAGGTTGCATTTAGTTTATCGTTATTGTGAATAAGTTTCCACGTTCCAAAAGGGGAGGATCAGAAGTATAAGAAGCAAATAAAATGAGTAGTATCATTTAATTCCGCAGCTAATTAGAGTTGATTATATGATGATGTTAGGGAGAGTGAGGTCACAAAAAATTACTCTTAGTTTATCTCAGGCCTGTTTACTTTTAGAAACACATCCAAAACAGAGAACTTGCAAGCAAGGAACAAGCAATACTGTGGAATCCACCCCACTTTCAATACTAAATGCTGTAATAGTAAATAAAACAGCAACAGCTGTGATATCCACCTTTCAATTCTTCCTTTTGGAACTCACATTTATCTTCCAAACACCACCTCCCTGCGCTTCTAACCATTACTCACAGCTCTCCTTCCTGGAGTTTGGGTTGGTTCTAAACTCATCAGGGATCTGACATGAATCTGAGGTCTTTCCATGTAGGAAAGCTGGGAGGTGTTCAACCATGAAATTAGCAAAGCAGCGGGAAAGAAATAACAGCAGTAGACCAACCTCCATCCCACCATAAGAAACTAGCATGAAAAAAAAGGCACAAAATTAAATTGGGTGCAAGGTAGAGGAGCCAACACACTTGCTTACAATCTCACTGCATTTGAGAGCCAAGAGACAGATAACTCCAACAAAAGGGAAGTCTGTATGGCTCCATGACAGCCTAGCTAGCCTATTGTTTGAATGATGGGGTTGCAGGGATAAGGATGAGGAAACAAATGTGCCTGGAGTACAGCAAGATATAAAGCTTCTCAAAACCAGAGCTGAAGTCAAAGCATATTGATCATACCCAGACCCCATATATTAGGGAACAGCTCTAGTTTCAAGCAATATCCAAGTAAAATTAAGCCTCTAAGGTTGCCACTTGGTCAAGCAGCCAGTGCAGAGATATGTTGATAATCACTATTTCATCCGAAGAAACCACAACCCCAAATTTGCCTACCATTCTCCATTAATGTCCTGCCAAATACCAGGCTAACTCAGTTGCCTAGCTTCATTCTTGACCTTGTTAGTCTGATCGGAGTTGATTTCATAAATCCAAAATGGGTAATTTTTTTTCTAAACCCCAACTATCTAACCTTTCCAGCTTCCCAAATGGTGAGACCTTACTTGGAAGGACATTTTCGTATCAGCTTTCCTGAAATGGAGAAAGTGGTAGAGACTGAGCATTGGTGTTCCTGCTTCCTTTCTTCCAAGACCAGTGGGGAAAGGCCTGCACGTTGCGCCCTCCCTCCCAAGACTGTTGAATACAGTTTGCTGCCTTGATTTCCAAGACAGATGCTGGACTAAAGCAACCCTGACATCTAGATCAATTCTGCCTGTTCTCCCTTTCAGCCTTCATCAATCTAGCTGTCTCTCAATACCAAAATCCTTCCTGTCCCTTGGCTGTGCTAGTAAGCGTTGCCATACATACACACGAAGCCTCAAAGAAGAGATGGTGGCCATGAATCCTGGGTTTGAACCTAGCTCCCGTATCAAACTCAGTTTAGTGCCCATCACACTTTCTGCTCTTCTATTTGTTCACTCAGTAACCGATCATCAATCCAAGTTACAGTTGCCATTTAACAGGAGCAAGCACACACTGTTTAAAAATTAGCACTTGATTCTGCAAAAGCTGAACTCTGAAACCCACAGAAGTTATACACTCCTGTTTGGGTTTTCTACTCTGCACATACACAAGAATCCCTACTTTAACAATAACAACAAAAATTACATTTTCTCTACTCTGTCCTTGAAGCTCATCAGCCTTACTGGCCGTAATAGCTAGGAGCATGCCTTCATTTTCAGAAAAGAAAAATCACATTTCTCAAAATGCCAAATTTGGCACCCAGTAGTCCCTTCCGAGGGCCATGCTCAGGAGCATTCAATGAAAGGATAAGAAAAGAACCACAATTTGCCATCCTCATCTGGAATATGTTATCATACTTAAAAGCTCTGCCAGCGTCTTAGGAAGCCTACTAGCAGGACTTCTGAAAAGCATTTTTGTACAAACCCCCTCTTCGGTCAAATTTTCACTCGTTTTATTGCGATCTTGACAGGAGAAGATCGAATGGACTTATGCAATAAGGAGATAGATTGCTGCCATTTGACTACTGTGCCCGACATAGCCACAAGTTTTCCTTTCCTCTTGCTGACATTTGGTTTCAATGTACAAAATCTATCCGTTATTTCCTCACATTGGCACAGCACATTTGGGCAAAGATCTGAAAGTGTTACAGAAGTAGGAATCGGTGCATTTTAAGACAAGACAAAAAAAAAAAAAAACACGCTGAAGTCTCCGGGGCCCTGGGAATCAAGTGATTACAATATGGGGCTACGTGAGACTCCTAGATTCAATTACAAAGATTTGGAGGACAAATCAGGCTGCGAATAACCGCCCGACCCGGCAAAAAGGAAACAGCTCAAGATGCAGGAGGAGAAGGAGGAGGTGGTGGTGGTGGTTTATATTTTTAGCATTCATGAAATATTCACTGACTGAGTTGTGTGTTGCCAAGCTGAGGCAAAGGCGACCCTGCACAAGCTATTTATAGCTGACTTCTGTTTCATGCCCATAGCACAATTCAGTGTGGATGTATAAAAAACATGCCCAAAGGATGCCGCCCACCACCACCACTTGACTATGTAGTTGCAGGGCTATTCACCTGACCATGCAGACTTTATCTAAGATATCCCTCGTTCCTTATGATCCCACCCCTCGCAACGTCTCTGCTCCTTTGCAGTTCTGGTCCACCAGTGGAAGAGCAGCAAGGTCCCATCTGGCACAGGTGCTCTAGGGGCAGTGCAACCTATAGAGGAGGGGCTGGCAGAGGCAATAGGCAATAGCACTTCAGTCCATGGTTGGACTGGACTGGGGAAAACTGCAGGGCGCACACACCCAGCAGGGGGAGCGCCAGGAAAGCCATCTGACAGGACAGCATGTTTTGTTTGTGACTCAGTTTCTCAAATGATTTCCTGAGTCCAATATTTTCTCATGCCCAAAGTAAAAAGTTGGCTGCTGACTTCACATCCATTTTCATGCATCGGTCTTGGGCAGGAAATGGTTTCCTTTGGAGCACAATACTAACCACAAACCAAGGGAACTCTAAAAACTTTTCTAGTGAGCACTCCACACACACACACACACACACACACACACACACACACACACACAAACCCACATTTCCCCTGGCTCTTTCATTCTTGATAGGAAGAAAAAATATGCCTAAAATGGCATTGCCTTCACCTTGTAAACAGCTTAGGTTCTCCTCCTCTAGTAACTTGATGCTGGAAGCATTATGGCTGCTAAACCTGATTTCCTCAGTTTCTGAACCTGTAAAATTCCTGTTTTTTGTTAATAAGAGGAATAGTTCGCAATAGTTCGCAGTCCATTTTGGACAGTCCATTGATGCAGGTCAAGTATTTTGTAATTGTGCCACCCAAGTGTGTGGAATATGGCATGGACTGAAACTAAATTTAATAAATTTGAGAAAAAGAGTAAAAAGCAGCTTCTGATCCTGCCAGCACTTTTGTGTGGTTTTGAGTGACAGCACAGAATTGACAGGTTAAGAAAAGGAAGGACGACTATTCAGCAGGATGGATTTACTTTGGTTAGGAAATGGGACTTGTCAGTCTCTCACAACAGCAGAGAACTGTTGAAAGTAAAGAATCTATTGAAGATCAAAGCGCTCACCATTTCCTGATGATCATTCAAAGTCATCAATCAGCCTTAAATCTGTTTAAACTGTAGTACTCCAGAAAGGAAAACTCCGGGCAGGGAGGGGGGGTGGAAGAAGAGCAAATGAAATCTGCAGAATATCTGTAAAAAAGTAGATCCCTCTATGGAGCTGCTTCCCTACAAGTCAAAATGTGTGCACACAAATGGGAGATTAGGCCTATATCAGGTTTTTAATATGAATGCAAAACCTACATCAGCCATGCTATACTCATTCCAAAACGTGTACTTTTCTCATCCGGCCTCATCAGAATCATGTGAAAATAAGGACATCAATCCAAATGCTTCAGAAACCAAAATCCCGTATCCTGAAAAACAGATGCTCATCACAAGAACACAACGACCTAACAGAAGTCACTGCATCAATAACACTAAACAACTATCAAAAACAGCTTATTCATCCCAGCAGAACCATTTGAGAGATAAGTCTCCCTAAACCAGTGATGGCGAACCTTTTAGAGACCGAGTGCCCAAAAACTGGCCCTGCCCCTGCTCTACCACCTGCCCCTGCCCCTGCCCCGCCCCTGCCCCACCCCCATCTCCTGCCCCGCCTGCCCACAGGGCCACTCACCGCCTCCAGGGCCCGCCGCAGATCACCCAGGCAGCCCAGCAGCGCTATGGCGGTCATGCCCTCTGCCCATGCCCTACAGCATCAACTGTGCACGATGGGGTGTGAGGGCAGAGTCTTGTCTACGCTGCCTGGCTACCATGTCCTTGGCTGCGCTGCTCCGCATAGACCACACTCAGGGGCGAGTCTCCTTCAGGGAGGTTGCTGGAGAGGAGGGGGTCACGGGGGGAGGCAAGGCTGGGGCAATGGCATGGGTGCCACAGAGAGGGCTCCGAGTGCCGCCTCTGGCACCCGTGCCATAGGTTCGCCACCACTGCCCTAAACATTCTCTACAGAGTATGTGGGTAATAGGTTCCCTCTTGCACTGTAACATCGACCACACACCCATCTAAGCTACATATTTGAATGCCAAACGAGACTATTTCTTAAAGAAGTCTGTGATAAGAGAGGGCAGCAGAAATTGCGCAGATTTATCTAGCCCTGTTCATAGAAGGGTATCCAGGCAGTCTGGCCCAGTGATCAAACTTGCAGAGTTTCATCACACACTTTCCAATGATCTTGTGGAACGAACAGTTACCGTACAAAAGACATAACTACTGGACGTCATTTCTTAGGGAGGTTCTAAGCTTCAAAAATTCTACGGAACTAACTGCTCTCCCAAGTTTGCCACAGCACTATAAAGGTTAGAAATTTAAAAATAAATAAATAAAACCTGTGGGTGGTAAACAACAGAATCAGAGCATATAGATCAGCAGGATGGGTTCCCTTTTTCCCAAGCAGCTTCTTTTCCCCATCATTAAATGCTTTAAAAACTTAAAGCATTCTGAAAAAAGTCAAAGGAAATAATGGGTTAAGGACTTAGCTAAATATATGTCTTGGAACCACCAAATGCTATTTGGATATCAAGCTATGGTCAGGCCATACAAGCAAACAAGGGAAGTACTGTATTAACATCTGAGTGCGCTCCTCCCTTTATACTGCTGGATGGTTGAGCGGGAACAGCTCCTTTTCTCCTCCCTTCGTCTGGGTCTTTGATGACCTAACATGTTTTAATAGCAGATGCTGCAGCCCTTGTCACCGCTGCCAAAGAAGGTCCCTCACCACCTGGCATCATCAAGAACACATTAAGACACAACACAAAAAATCTCTTTTGTGGGCCAAGTCTGGCGTGGAAGCAACATCCGATGAATTAAACCATCTGAACCATTTATTGTCTTCTCGAGACTACAGGATTTCCACCTCTCCTGGTTTACTCAGAAATAAAAGTCTTTCGGAGATTGGTTGGACATGGGCTTTTTTCTGGCACCAGTACTCAAGCACTGATTTTAGAAATCTCTTTCAATAAATGTGGATGCTAGCAAAGGAAGACAGTATTCAAGGTGAAGAGAGCATAGTTAAGGTTGCTCTCCAAGGTCCTTTTTCCTCCCACCCACCCAGATTTATCCACTATTATACACTCAATTCCAGATATATATTTTTTGCAGTCATAATCTTTTGAGTTTAAATGTGCCAGATTGTTGCTTAATCAACTGGAGAGAAAGTGGAGGGAATGAGGTATTCTTGATCCTGCATTTTTATTTTGAATTTCAGTGTTTTTATGTGTTTATATCCCTAATATTGCATCAGTTCTGTGCCCAAGAGATAGAGTAAAACAATGCTTGCTCCATTTGATCCCTTGGAAGTGGACTCCTTCTTCCTTACACTTTAATTCTTTTAACGTTCACTTTTTAATTTCTTGGGATCTTATCGTTTTTAGAATATGATCTAAGGATTCACAATGTTCTAGGGACTTCATAGGATGCAATCCAAAAATGGAACAAGAAAGGCCTTCACAGAAGCTCAGCCAGGCTGATATTAGACAGGCAACATCAACTTTGCTTTCAGCTCCACTCCCCCTTTCTCCTTCAACCTCAAATTTCTGGTTGCTTCCAAACTGGGTCCCTCTTGAAGACTACAGTTCTCACCAATGCGGCTGTCCATCACATAGGTCTCAATTATGGCACTCTTCCTGCATAGGTCCTCAGCCATGGAGGCACTGCTGACTTCAAGGTGCTTCACCTAGCAGAGAAAGATTGCATTACTTGTTACTGTCAAGCCACAAGACCAATGCTATTCTTAGACTTGGGAACCATCTAGCTTCAAGCGATGTCTCTTAAATGTGGCAGACCAGTCTCTTTTTCCAATTTGCTCTCTTCAATCCAGACCTTCTCCCAGAGTTTGTCCCTCTCTCTGACTGATTCCCCCAAAGTTGAGAATTGGCATCTGTACTGACATCCTATCAGAATCAGTTCCCCAGCCAAAGCCCCAAAAGTCAAGGTCAGCCAACGCTATCAGGATTAGAAGCAAAGCCCCAGTCAGTGGACTCCTACATGGGTCCTTGGGAAGGCATGCCAAGGCCATTCTGTGCCTGGATGGTCTATACCAGGGGTAGTCAACCTTGGCTCTTTTATGACTCGTGGACTTCAATTCCCAGAATTCCTGAGCCAGCTAAGCTGGCTCAGGAATTCTGGGAGTTGAAGTCCACGAGTCATAAAAGAGCCAAGGTTGACTACCCCTGGTCTATACTGTGGGAAATCCAGGAAATACTGAATGGCTCAGGTTCTCACAAAATCCAAACCTAAAACCCAGATGATTTGATACCTTCTCCTCCAACAGCCACTTCTCCTGCTGAACCTCTGCCAGCCGCTGGAACAGTTCTGAGATCTCCTCATCTGAAAGGTCGGCTGGCCGTGGAGGTTGCGACTGTGACTGTGGGCTTCCTGTGGTTGACTACAAATAGAAAAGGTAAAAGGCAGACGCATCACTTCTCACATTCGGGCTTTTTAGTACAGGCCCAGTTCAGCCCATATGCAAAACAACCCAATTTCCACTAAGCAGGCAAATCATTAATCTCTTGTTTCCTCTATACAATCCTAGTCATTAGTGCTGTATGTAAAAATAATTTTATAGTAATGAACATGAAACTGTACACCTTGCTCCTACTGCCAACTATCCTTTTCCATTTAAAGCATTTGAAAGCAGATTCTCAAATGGCGTAGTTAACTGGGAATTATGGAAGTTATAATTTATCATGCCTAGAAACTGCCAATTGAAAAAGGTTGTGATCTAAAGCTAAAGAGATAAGAACATACAGTGTACCTTCCTAGCGAAGACGTTATCGCACACCATCATTAAGCTATTTATCTAATTTTTCCAAAAAACTAGTACGCTCATGGCCGATTCAAAAGTCATACTGATTCCAGTCAGGGAAATAAATTGGATGAAGGTGAGGTAGTGGAACCAATGCCTATCTTCTGGTAATGGACCAATAACCCAAAATTCAATCCAGAAGACAAGAGATGCTTTGTCTGTCCAATGAATAAAGTTCTACCTATTCTGAAGGGAGTTGCCCTCATCTTAAAGGTTCAGGAATCATAGCTTTGGAGAGCTTCTGGACTGAAGCATTTTCCCCTAGATGTGGCTTAGTCTGATAAAGACACTTCCATCACAGTAATTCATGTCATGGTAACTTCTCATTTAGTTGGTGCAATGCTTTGGGTTGCCCTTAAAGACATTTCAGTTAGAAGAAAATGCTGGTAGACAATTACTGAGCGAAACTGGGCAATTTGAACATACAATACCTGTGCTTTATGGAGTGGCTTCCGTTTAGTTTCTGCTCCCAATTCAGGGTGCTACTTAATCTATGAAGGGCTTCATACTTGGAGCTTAGCTATCGGAAAGGAACACTTTGTCACACTTATTTCTATTTGTACCCTAACATTCTTCCTTGGAGAGGCGGTTCTGGCTGCCCTTCCACACTGTGGTGCAATGAAGGCTACTTGGCCTTTTCAGTTATAGCTCCTTAAGTATGAAATGCCCTCCCCAGCTAGGTATGGGTAAGGCCGTGGTGAGGCCATCTTCATCTTAACTGCACTGCCAGACAAAAATATTGTTATGCTCACAAGCCTTTTAATAATGTGTAATTCCTGTTGAGGTTTTTAATATTTCCACATATTTTATTTCCTGTTATTGTTTTAGTTCAGTGGTTCTCAACCTATGGGTCGCGACCCCATTTGGGGTCGATCAACCATTTCACGGGGGTCGCCAAGCAAGGCTGTCCGCCATTTTTTCCCCTTTTCCGGCGGGTGCCCTACCTCCCTTGGGCTGGGCCAGCTGGTGGCCCAGCCGGTGGTCGGCCTGCTCCGTCTCTGCCGCTTGCCAGCTATGCCTTGTGCGGCACTCCCGGGCAGGGAAAGTCCTCGACTTACGACCGGTTGAGTAGTCCTCGACTTACGACCGGTTTAGTCCTCGAATTACGACTGGTTGGGGGTCGCGGCATTAAAAAGGTTGAGAACCACTGTTTTAGTTATTCCTTTGTCGATTTCACTTTGTAATGTCATGGGTTTTATAAAAAGTTTAAATATATGCTCTTATTATTTAACCTATTGCTCTTAGCTATTAATATAACTTTAATTATAAAGTGTCAACATTTCCTAGCCTCCAAATCTATTTGCAATCTTCATGTTCCTCCAGGATGTTTAAAAATTATAAATTCTATATATTTGCTATACATGTTTAGGTCCTGATTCTTGATAAAGCCAGCTTAACAAAAATGAGTCAAGCATGGGATGGGAACTAGGAATCCTTCATTCGGCCTCCATCCTGCTTTTATGCAAGCTTCATTAACTTCCTTGCACCGACATAATGTTTCAGTAAAGTTTTGTTTTGATTTACTATTACTGATGTTTGGTACCAGGTTTTGGCAGATAACACAAATTATGAATATCAGTAATTAAACAACATGGGTGAATTGCTCTAAACATCTGTGAAAACATTAAATTTAGATTACACAAGAGCAGATTTGAAAACAGGTGAATTTGTTATTCTGATAGGGATCACCGACTCCTGAAGCAAGCATATACTCAAAACCATCCTATTCCTTAAATATTTAGGCTAAGTTTGCCCACTCGTGCCAGTATTTGCCATCTGGCTTCAGCTGGCTGACCTTGGGAGTCCCGGAAAAAGAAAAAGAAAAAGAGAAAAAAAAAAAACCCCAAAGCTTGAAGACTGTGAAACTCTGGTATTGCAGCGTCAAGTGAAATTTGCTCGGGTGAATTATAACCTCATGCTTCACCGGTACAAAAAATGATGCAGAGCAGGAGCAAGGGGAAAAAAAAAAAATCACTTGCCCTTCATGGAGAAAAAAAAAGAACTAGACAGAAAGGGCCATTTCAGGAAATGCTGTTATTTTCTGTTGGGAAAGAGAAAATTCTCTTTATTTATGGGAATGAGACTCATGAAGCAAAGCTACCCCATTCAAGAGGCCTGGTTTCTGTGGCTTAGACAGTGTTTCCCAAACTTGACAATTTTAAGGCATGAGGACTTCAACTCCCAGAATTCCACAGCCAGCAACGCTGGCTGTGGAATTCTGGGAGTTGAAGTCCACATGCCTTAAAATTGTCAAGTTTGGGAAACACTGGCTTAGAAAGACAGGCTTCTGATTTCTACCTCTGGACCCCTCACCTTGTTACTGCCAGCCCCGGACCCTTCCTTCATGATTTCACGGTAGCTGAAGGATGAGATGCTGCTACTGTCTCCCGTCTGAGTCCGACTGGGGGAACTGATGTCTGCCAGGACAAGATCCTCGATCCCTGGAAGACAAAGAGAATGGTAGAAGTCCATGAAGGGAGGAGATGTTTCTAGAGTCCCAGCAGCCCAGGCCTGCAGTGACTTATGGGGCCATCTAACCAGGAGAGAAAACACATCTAGATAGCAGCGTTTTCAAGAAAATTAACCCCATTCTCCTATACTCAATGGCAAAACTTAGTTTCGCTTTTCAAAAAGGCATCAACCAGCTTCAACTCGTTTTTTATAATAATTTTTACTAAAGTTTTAAAAATGCAAACAAACGTAACTAATACAATTAAAAAATACAAAAAGGGAGGAGTAAAAAAGAAAAAGAAAGTGTAAAAAGAATATATAAAGAAATGACTTCCCCTTCATGAAGAGAAGTACAATTTCAGTAACTTATCCCTTTCTCTAACATTTCAACAAAAGATCTCTCCTATTTTATCTACAGACAAATTATAAAGTCTTGTCATTCAGCAAAAGTCCATTCAGAATTACTAGAAATAACAACATATATGTCTTAGGCCTTAATCAAATAAATCAGTTTCATATTTCTTTTTCTTTTAACATAACTTATTTTCTCTAAAAATGTAATAAAACAACATATTAAAAAACTTAATCTTTAATTTCTTCAAATAGTATCCTGCATGTTTATTTATCATTTTTTTTCTTTCTCCTCTCAGAAAGTCCTTCACAAATTCAGCATGGATTAGAAATAGCAACATCTATATTTTAACCCTAATTAAATAAACCAACCTTGTAACCCTGTTTTACTTTTAACACCACAGTTTATCATTTTTTCTACTAATACAATAAAAATATCTTCTTCCCATATCTTATCCATAAGACAAATTTTAAAGCCTCATCACTCTGTATTGGTTTAGAAAAACTCATTAAAAACTACGTTACTAAAACTTCATATACTGTTTATATTAACCTCAATCAAATAAGCCATGTTATATTTGTTTTTTGTGTTTAAAAATCTTGATGTAGCATCTCCAAAACTGGTTTCTTTTCATTTTCTGTTTTCTCCTTATAACATCTTCATAACACATCTCTTTTCTAAGTCCAAGGTAAGAAAATTGTTCAAGTCACTCTTCTGATTTATTATTTGTGTGTCCCTTTTAGTTATTAAGATGTCAGCCAGTTTCATTTGATCAATGTAGCATCCTTTTCCTTATTATTCTTGTAACTTAGCAAATATCCTTGAATTTTTCCAAAATTAAAATACTTTCCTCCATTCTGTATTAGTGGATCTCTTCTCCTTTAATTTATAATCTTCAGTTCTCTCTGGCTGGCTCTAATATCCAATCTTCAAAATCTCTTCTTATCATGTTTTTTTTCTGATCCACAACATTTTCTCATGGGAAAATTTCTTAGATTCAAAATCTTCATGTCTTTTAGATAGGATTTTAAATAAGCCGCAGAAAAGAGTCTTATAATTAATTTCAAAATCTTATTTCCAACCCATTTGGCTTCTTAGTCTGTTTATAAATTTCCACAGTCAATATTCTAATAACTTTTTGCTGTTTATTTCAGAACATATTGTTAAAAAATTCTTAAATTTACATGAAACCTCTTTCACAAAGGATTGAAGATATGTGATGAAACGTATTGTTCTGAAGGTTCTTAACATTCAAAAAACATTTCCTGAAGTGATTAAGAAAGGAAATGGGCAAACCCAGTGTTCGTTTGAATGCTCTGTGCTGCAAATTTGACTCTTCTTTGGCTCCCAGAGCTCAGAAACCTGCTGGAGACCACTGTTTTATGGTCTTCTTGCAAGAGATCCTCTGTGTGGAGTGCTTATAGGTGATCCCAGGTCTTCCCTTTGTTCAGAGAGGAATTCTGAGGCACTGATTCCCCCAAGTCCTTGTTCTGCTGTGGTTATCAGTTTTGTAATGGAGCCATCTTCAATGGGCCATTGCTTCTTCAGAGGTCAACTGCCTTCAACTCTGTTTAAATTGTCATCATGGCTTTTTCATTTTTCCAGGCTTTGAAACAGAACTAGCAGGTGGATAGAATAGTTCGTGGACATGTAGGAAATACGATTCTGTTTTTTCACACAGTCAACTTTATAGCAAATGCTCTGAAAAAGATGTAGGCGGAAGCAATGAGAGATTGCCCATTTTTAGAAGGATTTGATTCAGCAATTGCATTTAAATTCCTCTCTTCTAATCACTTTGACCATAACTCTGATCTCATCTCATGTCACATCTTCCTCAGAGAATTAACAAACTAACCTTGAGCATAGCAAATCCTCACTCTGCAGTGTCAGTTATCACATGTGGCCTAGAAACAGTGAGAGTCTTCTAGACCAAACAAGGACTATGCATAATCCTGACTAGGGGGCTGTGATAGTATGTGGGAACCACTTTGGGAGACAGAATGGAGAGCCACAGATTGAACAACTGGCATATAAAAGATGTCTCTGCCTACAGAAGTGGAGGATGGCTTTGAGAAGAATTTCAGAAGGGCCTTCCCTAGTTTTCCAAACAGTAAAAAGAAAGGAGGGGAGAAACACTTCCAGTCTTACAAGATTCTGTTAATGTAACCTTGCAATAAAGACAAAGCTAGTACTCTTGGATGTGCTTCTTGGGTGGACTACCTTGCAGAGCTAACACAGGCAAAGGGTAAGAACAGCTTTTGGGCCTCCTGCTTCCACAACCCCCATAAAGTCTTCAGACTCCTTCTACTGGCCTAAATCACAGTTCATACAAGCCAAGATGCTGTTTTCTTAAATATGTCATGCAGGAATTTATGGGCACAGGTTAGCATTAATGGTGCTTAAGACTAGCATTAAGATAGCTTGTGTCTAATGCAAAGGCTGCTAAAGAGAGTTGTGAATGGAGGAAAAGCATAGAGAAGTAACTCAGCCCAAAACCTTCAGAAGCTTTGACTGCAAGGTCCAAATTACTTTTTGTATGAACATGGCACATCCTTTGCTCCTAGTCTCAGTTTGTGTATGTGTTGAATGTTCTACTTTAAAGCTTTCAATTTACACTTCTTTTTTTAAAAGTAAAGTAAAATAAAGTGTAAAGTAAAATGTAAAGTAATAATAAAAAAACAAAACAAACCAGGCAGTCTCATTTGGAGTCTTTATATTTTTTTTAAAAAAATTGTTACTCTGGTACATCTAGATGAGCAGATCAACAAAAAATATTTCAGGAGAGATGATCATGTACCATCATATGATGTACTATCATACAGGGATGATGTGCATAAGGAAATGAATGAGATTATTTTTAAATGAGGAATCCTTAACGTACTAATGTATTACAGAATAGAATAGAATAGAATAGAATAGAATAGAATAGAATAGAATAGAATAGAGTAGGAGCTGGAAGGGACCTTGGAGGTCTTCTAGTCCAGCCCCCTGCTCAAGGAGGAGAACCTATACCATCTCAGACAGGTGAATGTTTAGTCTCTTTTTAAAAATCTCCAGTAATGGAGCGCCCACAATTTCTGGGGGTAAGCTGTTCTACTGGTTGATTGTCCTCACTGTCAGGAAGTTTCTCCTTAATTCCAGGTTGCTTCTCTCTTTGATCAATTTACAATCATGATCTGAATATAGTTAAAGCCAACCTGACATGCATCTAGTTTAGCCCATCTTCTTTTGAAAATGACTAGAATCCAAAAGCAATTTCCATTCAGTTATGGGGGCTAGATATTTTTGAACTACCTGCCTCTGGACTTCACAATAAACTCTGATTTAGAGTTTGCTGATGTATGAGACAACCACAGAATTCTCATAATTGATAAATCTGGAGGTTATGCTCCAATATATTCAGAGGATATCAAGAGGTCTTAGATGGGAATTGAGCCTCGCTCATGATTAAATTTAGGTGCTGCTCCTCAACTGGGGAAGTTGTGAGGAGAAATTCAATAGCTTCCATTTTTCTTTTAGACTAACTACGGTTGTCACATTGCCCGAAATGGGCAATTTGTGATTAATCTTATGTAGGATTCGCTTGAAAGCAGGAAGAATCAATCCATAGGTTGAGAAACCAAAGTTAAGCGTTGCTCATTATTCAAGTAAATACAAAAGCAGAGAGGAGTAAATGGACCCGGATGGGATATTAGATTTATTCTGAGGCCCAAGCACAGCCACTAGCACCTCTTCAGCATAAAATAACAAAGCAATAAGCATGCTACTAACAGTCTGGTGTCTTCAGGCTCCTCCCATTACCAACAGCAGTTTCAATCCATTAACAAGTGGAGTAGCTTGGGAGTGTCCAATGGATACCATTGAAATTTGAGGAGATGTTACATGCTCTTTCATAAAACAACTGTCGAGGGAGGGAGGCAGTTGTGCATTCACAAAGAAACTGGTATAGTGTACATAGCTCATCACAAGACACAACTGACCAGACAGCAAACAAGTGAGATTTACTACTTCCTTTCTCCTCTCAGAATGCTTATTTGTTAACTAGATTTAAATCTTGCCTTTCATTCAAGAGCTAAAGGCAGCTCCGGAATAGCACTTCCTCTTCCTATTTTTCACCAGAATAGCAGTCTGTGAGGTTCACTAGTCTAAGAGAGAATGGGTGGCCCAAAATTGTCCAGTATCATCCGTGGTGGTGGAGAGTAGAATAAAACCCAGACTCAATGCTCCTAGTTCAACCCTTTCACTATTGTCTCACATGGCCTCTCTATTCTTGACTTGACAGCTCCCAGTTTAGCTTTGTCTGGCTAGGTCACGGGTCGGCAACCCGCGGCTCCGGAGCCTCATGTGGCTCTTTGAGCCTTCACTTGCGGCTCCCAGCCTCCTCTGCCATTTGCAGAGAGAGAGAGAGACAGAGAGAGGCACCTGCACTTTCCTTCTCTCTCTCTCTCTCCCCCCCCTCTCTCCCCCCCTCTCTCTCTGTATATATGTGTGTGTGTGTAAAAGAGAATAGCCTTACGCAGTTCTCTGACGAGCTGACAAGCTTATTGGGTGGGGCTCCTCCCTTTGCTGCATCTCTGCAGGAAGCAGGAAGAGCAGGAGAGAGCCAGCCCAATAAGAATGTGTGTCAGCTTGTTGGAG